CTCACGCACCTGAGCGGGCTCGCTCCTGCGCACGGACACCTGAGCGTCTTTTTTTTTTTAATTAATTTATTTATTTATTTTATATCTATTTAATTTATTTTGTGGTGACATTGGTTAATGAAATCCAATAAGTTTCATCTGTACACTTTAGCAGTCAGGCATATATATATTTACACGGCGTGTTCACCTCCCATAGTTAGAGTTCTTTCTGTCACCACGTATCTGATCCCCCTTTACCCCGTCTACCTCCCTCTCCTCCCTCCCCCGTCCCCTCTGGGAACCGCTAATCTATTGTCATGTCCATGAGTCTCTGTTTGTCCTGTTCATTTGCTGCTCTTAGGTTTATATCCCACATACAAGTGATATCATGTGATTTTCAACTTTTTCTGTCTGGCTTATTTCGCTTAGCGTGATTATCTCGAGGTCCATCCGTGTTGTCACAAATGGCAGGATGTCATCTCTTCTTATGGCTGAGTCACATTCCATTGCATATATGTACCTCAGCTTCTTCAGCCAACCATGAAAACCTAGAAACCTTCCCTCTAAGATCAAGAACAAGGCGAGGCTGGCCCCCCTCGCCTCTGTTATTCCCTACGACATTGGAGGTCCCAGCGAGTGCATCAGGCAAGAGAGAGAGAGAGAAGGCATCCAAATAGGAAGCCAAGAAGTCGAACTGTCACTATTCGCGGATGACACGATTCTCTCTATAGAAAACCCTGAAGACTCCACAAGAACACCTGAGTGCCTTAGGGTCAGCCTTCAGCCCATGGGAGCAGCCGGGGTTGGGCACCAGCAGTGACCCACCCCAAGGACCGGGGCCTGGCCAACCGAGCTTGGATCCCACCCCACTCAGGCCGGGGCCAGCTCACAGCGCAGGAGGCCCTGGGGTCCCTCCGCGGGGCATGGAGAGAGGGGCGTCTGGTCTCCGCCGCGATGCCCAGCGTCCTCCCTTTACTCACGTCCTTCGCTGCGTAGAAGGCGGTCCCATCCTCGCTAAGGGGTCAACGGCCCGCCGGGCCACCGTGCCCCACGCCGTGTCCCAGACCTCTGAGGGGTCCACGGCGGCCCCCCGGGATGACGATGGAGCATTCTCGCACGGAGACCGGGGACACCCGTCCGGGTCTGTGGCGTCACAGAGCGGCCACTGTCCCCAGCCAGGCGCGGGGTGCCGTCCTCGGCTACGCCCCGACTCTGCCCTCGGACGGGCCCTCCCGCTCCCCGTCTCCGTCGCCAGCTTGGCCTCCTTGGCGTCCCCCTTGGACGCGTGCGCAGCGGTCCCTGGGGGACGCTCCCTTGGAGATGTGCGGTCCCCTGAGCTCCCTGCCTGCCCCCTGTCATGTAAGTCCAGCCGGGCAGAGGAGGTTGAAGATTTGGAAGCGCGTGACAGGCTTTGTGCCCTTGCGGCCCCAGCCCTGGTCCCCGTCTGCGCCGCCCCCGCGGCTGCGCGCACCCGGGGTTCGCTCAGAGATGCTCAGGTCGGCCCTGCGCCCTCATCCCCACCCGCCATTTCCAGCACCGGGTTCAGAGACAGCCTCCCGCGCGGGGCCCTGCGCAAGGTCCCAAATCCACATTGCACCAGGTCATAGACTTTTTAAATGTCATCCCTTAAATTTGCAAACTCAGAGCGCTCAGATTTTGCCACATGGAGAAATCCAAATAGCTGATTCTCTACATTTCTTTCTTTTTACAAATAAGCCGATCTTTCCAGAGTCCACATTTCTTGAACTATGTTATCGCAACCATCCCTCCTTAGACCAAAGTCCATGGCCCTCATGCAAGGAGGGGTGGAACGTACTAGAAACTCACATATTTGGCGGGACACACAACCTGTTGCCAAATTACGTTCCACACTGTGCACATCAAATTATCCTTGCTCAGTGGGCGGCTCACCTCCCGGCCACGCCCTGGTGCGTACCTAGTTTTTCTAGACTTTCTTCTCATCGTTCTCTTTTCCCAATTCCACAGGACACACTGTAAACGCCCTGAGGACGGCATCATGCATTCATTCCCATGTTACCAACAGTGAGCGGACTATCTGAAGTATATTGGAATGTTGATTTAATGAATGTTGCTTGCATAAATGAATGAATGATGGAATTCTTTATCTGCTTTAAAAAGAAAAAATGCATCGGATCCAAGGATACACATTGTTTAAGTTTTATTATAACCCAGCTCAGATCTTTTTGGCAGGGGGAGAGAAAAAAAGTTCTTTTTTTGTCATTAGCCAGAGTAATAGCCAATCAAAGAAAGAGGGCTTTCCAGCCCCCAGCGTCCCTCCCCTGCAAATCTGTTTGGTCTTTAACACCAAAAGCCCTCTTAACATGGAATGACACTACTTTTACCTCAATTTCCAGCTCCTTTGCTTTCAAACTGGATCCTCCCTGAACTGTGACCCTCGAGGGAACGGCTCTCCCTTGCTTGGCAAGCAGACGAATTCGGCGTTGCCTGCTGGTCTGCTTGTTTTTAGTTCTAGCAGTCTTTCTCTCTCTGTCTCTCTCTGTCTCTGTCTCTCTGTCTCTGTCTCTGTCTCTCTGTCTCTCTCTCTGTCTCTGTCTCTCTGTCTCTCTGTCTCTGTCTCTCTCTCTCTGTCTCTCTCTCTCTCACACACCAACTCCGCTATTCCAAGTCACAGTTAAAGCCCTGTTTTGTAATTCACAACAGCTCTATCTATGGGAGTCCAAAGAAATGGGACTCGCGTTTACTCTAAGCGCCCAGCCCAGTTTATAGGCAAAGCGGGGATAAAAAATCTCGAGTCACGCTGTTGTCATGACGATCACAATCCGCTAAGACACGTGCGGTGCAAAGCACCATGCTCGTTTTGTGACATTTCTAGAGCACTGTATCATTTACGATCAGTAAAGAGTACTCCGTTAAGTGGATGGTAATTAGGTAACTACGACCTTTTATTAAACGCCTATATGTGAGCTTGCCTTGGCGAATAAGAAACAAGGTTAGCCTGCACTGTGGCGCTGCTGAATTTCTCATTCCTGTCAAACAATCAAAAGTATTTTTCCCTGGAGAAAGTTATTAAAGGAAAGAAGAAGTACTCTAAGAACTACTGTTGGTATGAATATGTATAAAAAAGCAAAACTCATCACATGCATACATGTACTGATTTCAATATCTTTAGTAGGGTAGATGTAGCACATTAATTTTATTAGGGATTAAAACCGACAAAACGAAATGTACCTTTATCAACTTATACATCCATAAACAGTCACGTTATGTACATGGTGGTCGTGAATTTTCATAGGTGATTTTTCCAGGCACTTGAGAGTTATTGTCTGTTTCTTTAAATTTTATAAATTCTGCAATAAATTCCCAAAGGTCCCTTAAAATACATAACAAATAAGTACAATAGATCAGAAAAATGTACATTCAGCATAAATAAAACTTTTAAAACACACATCTATTTTAGGATACATTTACTCAAAAACACGAAGTGAGTCTTTGCAATCTTCCACCTCGGTTTTAAAGATTAGTTTCAGTAGAGTTTTTGCCTCAGATGTAGCAAAGATTCTCTGTATTTACGGGCAAAGCCTCCGCAGCATGTTGCAGATTAAGTGCCGTATGGCAGCAGAGGTAGATCCGCCTCAAAGACGGTGTTTAAACTTTAGATCTATTTATTCTCAAGGCCATGGAAGCAGCCCACCCAACTCTGTATTTGTAATTCTACGTCGTTTTTCCTTTGAGGCCACCCACCATGATATAAGGCCCCACAAGACCGAGATCCACCTGTATGGCTCACCCAGCACCTGCCCTAACATCTTTTCCTCCATGACTTTCTCTACTAGGTAAGCTAGGAATCAAATATTTTATTTTCTGGACTCCTTCGCAGCTAAGCGTGGCCTTGGGACATGGTGCTGGCCAATGAGATGTGTGTGGAAGTCCCGGGAAGGACTTTCCTTCCTAAATGAAACGAACCTTCATGAGAAACTCTTTGAGACTCTGCCCTTTGCCTTCCCCTTCCTTCCTCCACGGAAGATGGACCCGATGCCTGAGGACAGCTATATGGAGACTCTCAGGAGTAAAACCGTACTCACGTGGCTAAAAAATACATACGGATTGAGGCGTAGACCTTGGGCTTAATTCTTAGGCACAGGGAGGAATGTAACATCGATAGTCAAAGTTAAGACTTGTGAATGTAAACACTTCAAAAGTACTGTCTGGCCCAGGCTGATTCTAACCGTGTGGCTTTGAGACTAGCGTGAGGTTGTCATGCATGTTCCCTCATCTTGTCGCTGATACTCACCGCTGCTTGTCTCCACTCATGTTATTCTTCAGCATGCACTGCTTCAGCTGGTTTTCGATAATCTGGCAAGAATTAGAAATCATTCGGTCACGTGTGATGACAACAATACTGAATTCAAATAGATTGTCGCTTCCAGAATCAGGCATAACATACTCATTCATACTGTATATCATGTATATGGAATAGAAACAGAATTATAATCTATTAAGCAGCAAATTGTTAGCATGCATCATAGAAGGGGTATCCTCAAAGTCATCAGAGAAACCAGTTCATCCTATTCCTTGTCATCAAACAAGTTCATTAAAATTAATTGTTATGTGTGGAAGGGTTTAGAGAAATGGCCAACTCCGACGGGCACATTCAACTATTTAAAAAGACTTTTTATACATCAGTTTACATCTGTCCAATTTTGAGTTAATGTCTGCATAGCCATCTATTCTTAAGATTATAGAAAGTTACCATTTAGAAAGATACTACGTATATTCTTATTTGGTTTATGAAATAACACAAGAAGGCACTAAAGGAAATGTTTCTATTGCAAAACATCGATTCCCAAAAACTTACACATATTTTCTTCTTTAAGATTTTGTTTGCCGTTTCCAATTTTATAGCTTCGATCTGAAGGAGAAATGATTTTAAGAGGAAGACACAAGGTTAAGAATATTTGTTAAATACTTTCCCCCATTTACAGGACACAAAAAAGTATTATGTAAAGGTTGTTATTCTCATTTCGAGAGCACCCAGATGCACACCATTCAAAGACAGAAGAATAAACAAAGCATGACTGAAAAACCTTTGGTAAAACAGAAAGACCTTGGCCCCCAGGGTCAAAAACTAGACAAGGTGGGGCTTGATGTGACAAAAGATGAGAGAGTTTTAGAGGAACTTCAGAGTAGAAGAGTTTCTTACTTTTCAGAACTCATGATAGCATTTGTTAAGGCAGCTGGATATGCTATAAAAATATAAATATCAATAAGTCACATGTAGACCAGCAATAACTGATTATATACTTTAATGTAAAAAACTTTCTAAAGTTTTCATCCACAATAGTAATAGATGCCACAAAGTCACAAAAATAAGCATAACAAAAAATACTTAAGAGCAATGGGTAAAAATAAATTAAATAAATATACAGCGATCCTTAACGGGAGTGTTAATATTGTAAAGCTGTCACTTTGTTTCCCCAAATGAACCTACAAATTCATTGTAAGCACAATCAAAATGCCAAGAATATTATCACTGAGACCTGAAAATTACTGAGACGCTTCAATGGACCTAAAAGAGACCCAGTTAATCCTGCGAATGGGAATATCCAGATAATTACGAACAAATAATGATGGGCAGGGGCTGTAAAGACTTGGTCTCTCACATAGCCAATGTACTGAAAAGAATTCACAGTTATATTAGTGAGGCTGGATAGTGCAGAATTAAGAACGTAGGCTGAGTTTAAATTCTGATGCTACCGTTTGCTCACTGTGGCTTCGGTGCAGTTAGTTAGCATATTTGTGCCTTGAGTCCCTCGCCTGAAAAAGAGGTGACTCTCTTTTCCTGTCTCTTTGGGTTGTTGGGAATAAAGTGAAATAGTATTTTTTTAATGTTCACAGCCATATCTTGGTGCATTGTTAACCCCTGATACATTTGCTTATTTTTCTTTGGCTTAGAATTATTATATTTTATATTCAGAATCAGAAATCAATTATTTAATGGGATAATAAATGTAATTCTATTGTACCTCCTAGTATTTGAATTAAGGAGCCAAATATAAATAATAGTTAAAGTTATATAAATTCGTGATAAGGGAATATTTGTAGGAAATCTTCTACTCCTAGATTTGATCCATTTAAAGAGATGTTAATTATGAAAGAAAAGTTGGCGTGATTTCGGCTTTACATCATGCTCACAACATATAAAGCCGAAACTCATCTTTTTCACTGTTTAAACATTCAACTATAAGTTAGTGTTTGTTCTCAGAACATGATTCAGTTTTTTAAAAAAGAGAAGACTCGTGAAAAACACGGAAGGGAATCTGAAAATATGATTTTAAAAGAAAGAGAGAAATCAAAACAAGTTTGGACCACTACCGCCTTCCCATACACTTTATAAATCTGCTCAAAAGAGAAAAAAAAGTAGTTCTGAGAAAATACATGTTAAAAAAATCACATTTCAATTATAAACTCTACAACTAGCAGTTACATTGAGGCAGATTCTGCACAAATAATAAAGATTACAGCATAAAAAGCAGGGTGCGATGTTATTTTAAAACGCAGATTATAATTTACAACATCCTGCTCATCAATGAAATCGTTACCATAATTGTGAAAAACTATTTTTATTAGAGTAGACTTTCCTAACGGCAGTAACTCATTCCTATCTGCCCGCATTATTGCCCAGCTAACTCAGAATCTAACTACTGAGTCAACGAGGGCCAATACGAAGTATAAGGGTTTTGGAGCCCAAAAAGAATTAAGTTCAAACCCACCTTTACCAGCTCTAAACTGCATCACCTGGTACAGGTTACTTAACTACTGTGATCTTCAGCTTAAACTACTTAGTCCATATTAGATGCTAAATGATGGAGGCCATTATTTTTATGACAGGCATTTCTATACAAAATATGAAATTTTAAAACACTTCAATTGACCTAAAAGAGACCAAATTTGATCCTTAACAAAGCCCTACAGAATTTTTGTCACCTTTTATTTTTGTTGTTTTAGCTAGATCTCCTCATTATTCCAATCATTTGCAAATTGTTTGCTACCAATGTTTTAGAATGAAAACATATGTGGACCAAAATTTACGTAATTTTTTACTCTATCGAAAAATCAAATTACTTCATGTGTTTGCCAAGGTTTTCGGGTGAAAGACCATAAACATTCAAATAAATAAACTGCATACCTCTAAGCTTTTAATCTTATTCTCGGTGATATGTGAAATTCCTGTATGAATCAAAGTTGTTTTCATTTCTCTTTCAAGATCTTGAATGTCATCCCATTTCTTAAGTATTTCACACCTTCTCTTTTCAACCTTCTCAATAAGAGTAAGTTGTTTCTCATCCATTACATTTTTCTCAGGTGATTCTGAAAATAGTTTTTAAAAGCAAAGTATTACTGTGTTTAATATCTTAGCCTTTATTAATAACATAACATCTTCATAACAATATTATATTATATATCTATAGGTTTTACATAGCTATAAAATATAATGTGGCTTAAACTCTGAGCACATTGACAAAATCGGGGTGATTCCTCCTTCAGTTCCTTGATTTAATCAGTAAGTGTTCACTGCACACTGAATTTGAGCACCTAACACAATGCGGTAGGGACAGAAGGACGACTTGGCCAGAAACATGTGACTCAGTTGAAACTGGAAAGATGACTAGGGGGTCCGACAAACAAACGGGCCGGGGGGATGGTGGGAAAGCGGACTTTGGCACATTCGGTTAAAAAAAAAACAGTTATCCAGCGGGCGGGGACACTGGCTGCCCCGTGGGTGACATCGCGATACGACGCTGGGAAAAGAGCGGCAGATGCGACACGGTCTGACGACCTGTGTTAAGGGATGGGTCGAAGCCGCGGACGGCCTCGAAGCTGGGGACAAACACGGTCGGACGATGGGCGCTCTGTCTGCAGCACGGGACGCACCCGGCCAGGAGTCAGGGAGGACGCTTGCAAAGCGGCTGCCATCGTTCGGACGCGGGGGCCAGGCCGGGAGGGCGCCGGAGGCGTAAGGGGACGCGGAGAGATCGAAACGGGTTAGCGGGGCTCGGGAACTGGCTCGATCTGGATGTGGTGAAGCGGGCGAGGACACCGAGAGATCGAAACGGGTTAGCGGCGCTCGGGAACTGACTCGACCTGGATGTGGTGACGCGGGCGCGCTCCCCAACAAACCCTGGGTTTCGGGGGGCAGCAGCTGGGGACAGATGCGGCGGGAGGGGATTGGTGAGGCCAGTGCAGCAAAGACGTAGGAAAGAGCTGGGTTCGAACCCAGCCCGGCCACTTACTACGAGCCGCATTGAAGTGTTTGCGGGGAGGAGAGCGATGGATGCCTGCCAGCGGCTTCGCGTCGTGAGTCTCCCTGTGTTTGGGTGGTGACAGTCATGCAAATGGCTGGGAACGTGAGGGGAGAGAGAGAGAGAGGCAGAGGGAGACAGAGAGACAGACAGAGACAGATACAGAGAGGGAGAGGAAGAGACAGATGACAGACAGACAGACAGGGAGAGGGATTATTTGACCTTGGACATGTTGTGTCCACACACCTGTGGGACACTCGTGTGGCCATATCCACTAGGCAGCTGGCTATACACATCTCAAGGCTAAAAAGACATTTTAGCAGGGAAGGGATTTGGAGCCAAAGACAAGCTGGCTCCGACCGACAGCCACGCGTACGGAGCACAGGAAGGGGCCGGAGGCTGAGAGCGACTCCCTGCCAAGGGCGCCTCGTACCCCGCGGCTCGGTCTGGCTCCGGTTAGAGTGCTGAGGCTTCATTTTGGGGGAAAGAAGCACTACGCCTTTTCGATGGCAAAGAAAAGGCAATTGGGAAGAGGGGTTCCATGGTGTAGTGGTGAGCACGTCTGCTTTACATGCAGGAGGTCCCGGGTTCACGCCCCAGTGGAGCCCCAGGCCATGGTCTCCGGCCACACCACCCTGAACACGCCCGATGTCTGATCTCGGAAGCTAAGCAGGGTCGGGACTGGTTAATACTGGGATGGGAGACCACCTAGGAAGACCAGGTGCTGTAAGTATAAAAAAATAAAATAAAATAAATTTTAAAAAAGAGTGGTAACACCTGTACACAGTAAACAAGGCAGAGGTCATTGCCAACATTCAACTCTGCCAAATCTGGAAGAAAGGAAAAGTTTGAAGTTAAGTTCTGAAAGCTGGGGACACGAGTCAAGCAGACGAGCTAACTCAGAGGGAAGAAGCGGTAGGGGGAGGCTTCCTCGCGAACTGAGAAGCACGAGATGACACATTTGATTTCCTCCTCAACCCGGCCAAGGGTTTCAGTAGGAGACCGGGCCGCTCCAATGACCCAGCTGTCACTCCCTGTCTGCCTAAAGGGAAAGACTGAGGATGGACATGGGGAAGATGCCCCAGGAAACTGACAGGGCTCTGGAATGAGACGCTTAGGGACAGGAAATGAAGAACGCGGGACACCAGCATCCTTCAGCGGCTCCGAAAAAGTGTCAGAAATACTCAGCTGGGGTCCAACATCGAGAGAAGTTAACTAGAGTTCTAGAAAATCAGCAACGGCCTTTATTAGTCTCTGCCACCGTTTTGTTCGCCATCAGCAATAAAGCCCTTCAGTCAAAAATGACAAAAGGGTGGCCTGTTGTAAGAGACGGCAAGCAGCTGGAGTCCAGCGTGGGCGCAGACAGAGAAGGGACAGAAGTGGCTTCAGAGCCCTGAGAAGGGGTCGGAAGACAAGCAGGGAGCCAGCCCAGGACACGCGAGGGGCCCCGGGGACTCGGGTGACAAGAAAACCCGTGGAAGACAGCCAGCAGGTGCGTGACGCTTCGCTCCCGAAAGGGTAAATCAGGACAGTGGCCGGAACCTTGGGGGCCACGCTCCGCCGAGAACCTGAACCAGCTTAGACTTTTATCCTAAAACGGCTGAGAGGAAAAACAGTGACCCGATGAGCCAGCGTCTAGCAAACTTGGAGGGAAAATGGCATTTGACTGAATCTTTGTATGAAGACAGATGAGCAAGATACTTAATTGAACTGTCCTGATTGTTTCATCGCATTATAAATTGTGTATATAATTTTAATGTAATTTGAATGTCCATGCCACGCACATGCTTATAAAATACAGTCACTTCGCCGTGAGCCGTGTGCCCTTCCTCACAGCGATGACAGGCAGTGTGCCGGGCAGGCGACCGCCCCGCCGGCTCTGCGTCCCTCCCTCGCGTGGACAGGTGACCACACCGGACTCTCACGGCAACCCGAGGGGGCGCTCGTCCCCATCCCCGTCCTCGTCCCCGTCCTCGTCCCGACTTGCAGACAGGCAGCCGGGCCCACCCAGAAAGCAGCCGGGAAGCACCGCCATGTCACCTGCGGGGGACGCGCCCGCCGCCGAGGCCCAGGGGACCCGGCACTGACGGGGCAGGGACGTGTGCGAAGGCGACTTCGCCAGGTCGGGATGGAAGCGCACGAGGCCACCGCGCTGGCCGCCAGCCTGGCCCCCGGGGCCGCGCCCAGCCCAGGCGCCCGGTCCCTCTGAAGCCCGGCACGTTTCCCGGGGCTCCCCCTCCAGAGGAAACGGCCCCCCGGCCTCCCGCCCGTCCTGGTCGGATCCCATGCCCATGTCACGTCGCCTGGTCATTCTCGTTTGGGTCGGTTCCGAGGTCAAAGCCTGACCCAGTTCCTTCTGCCTGCATCCCTGACTTGATTCGGTGTCCCACAAACGACCCACAGACCTCAGCGAACACGCAACGGGGCGCGCGCTGCACCTGCTTACGGAGACACGAGGTAACCCAAGGGGACCCAGGCGACAGGACCTGGGGCCACCACCTTGACCTGGATGGACCGCTTCCTCGTGCCTTTAAAGTATTCCATTCACAGCACTTCAGACTAAATAAAAACTCACTGTGTCTCTAAAGAACTCGATGGGGAAAAATAGGTACAATTTAATAATGTCACTGAAAAAAAACAAAAAAAAACCCTTTGGGCTAAGGAAAGGCAGGAGGCCATGACCTGCGGGCCAGGCGTGAAGACCCCGGGCCCAGGGGGCACAGCGAAGGCGGCAGAGGACACCACGCAGCACTTGCCTGAGTTGTCCTGAGCCGACTGCAGCAGCCCGCGCTCCTCCTCCAGCTCACTTCTGAGTCTGCGGTTTGGCAACAAAAATGGTGAAATATTAGAGCCCCGTCCGTACCTTTTTTTCTTTACATAAAGCCTTTTTTTTTTTCCTATCGCGAAATAAAAACGAACCTTCTTACCTTCTAACGAGAAAGGGTAGATGCACAGAAAATGAGAGCCTAACTCAGTTCAGTTCAATAAAGCAAAGAATTCTTGCCAAGACTACATACGCCACTCGTTAAAGGAGCTAGTTAATGTAAAACAAATGACCTCCTGGAGTGTTTATTGTCTTATTTTGTGACTTGAATTTCGAAGCGGCGAGGAGGCAAAGAAACTCGCTTTTTATACTCTGGGGCAAACAACAAGTCCAAAGCGGTGGAGAGGTCTTACTGATGTCCGATGTCCCACTAAGATTGCGTTTTCCCTGCGCATTATGATTTCATCCCACAGACAGGATTCGCCAATTCCACTGCGTTTAAACTCAAAATGAACTAGAAGAAACTTTAAACAAGAAAATAAAAACCTTTGTAATATCTTCGTGCCCTCTTCCTGGTTCAAAATACACTAAATCGACTCCCTCGTTTCTAACGGATTTAGAGACGAAAGAACCACCATAAGTGTCACATCGACTGAGGGCCACCCAGTGATTCGCTGAAAAACATCGACACCACGAGTGACTTAACGCTGCCTACAAGGGGCCTAACGCTTCGAGAAGATTTTCACACACATTGGCTCATTTCATAAGAGATTGAAGGAAACGAAAGGTGTCATGACCCTCAATTTGAAGAAACTGAGATTAAATGAATTAATAATAACGGTAACAACCTTTTTGACACATAAATCAGGGATGTTTACTTCCCATACATTTTTATGTGTTATAGTTTTAAACGCTACTTAGATGCCTAGCGCCTCGGTTTTTCTTCTTCGGGACTTTTAATTATCTGTCGCTTGGATTTTTTCTGTCTTCCACTTCGACCACTTTCTCCCTCCGACTCTTTGCTTCTCCTTTTCGTTCTCTCGATTCTTTTCCTGCTCTTCTCCAACGCTCTTTTCTACAGTTTCATTCAAAACTGCCCCCCTCTGGGCCCGTCATAGTGCAGACTCGATCGACGCCTCTGACTTTCTAACCTCTCTTTGCTCAGTTGTCCGATCTCGCTTCGCGTCTTCCTTTCTGGTTGCTGATTTCTGTGCTTCGGTTTTGAAATTTCGGACTCGAGGTTGTTTTTATGTCCCGAAATGCCCCCGAGGAGGTCTGGCGTCGTTCGGGTGCTGCGGCGGTTTCTCCTCCCCCCGTTAGGCGTCCCGTGGCAGGGCCTCCCGTCGGCTGAGTTATTCGGGGTCCCGTTTTCCGTTTTCTCCTCACGGCGGTTCGTGTGGACCAAGATCGTTTACACTTCTGTATTTCATAGCTTGGGGCAGCCTGTGGGATTCCTAATTCAAGAGGACATTTATCCGTCAAAGTGGCAAATTGCGTGTGTGTTGCTGTTTTGGGTTCGTTTGTTTCGTTTCCATTTTTATCTGGCAGTTTTTTTGTTGGTTTGTCTGTCTTTTGGAGGGAAGGAAGGCGGGTGGTGGGAAGGGCTGTGAGCTCTTCGATTTTCTTCTGTTGTGGGTTCTAAATCCCCCTTCCCGGCTGCTGTTTCTCCTCCGTGCCGTTGGGAAGGACGCCGGTCCCCTCCCCGCCACCCCCGTCATCACATCAGAGCTGCGCCCCCGCCTCCTCACTCACCCTCAAGTCCGTCCCTGCGTCCGAGCCCTAAGGGATCCGCCTGCAACCTCTGCCGGACCCACAGCCAGGGAAGACGCCTCTGTCCCTGGCAGCGGTGTCGGGACGCCCAGGGCCCTGCCAGCTCCGCTCTGTTCGCCCCCAACACTGCCCTGGCCTCACGAAGTTTGCAGGGAGAGAGACAGCAGCTCACAGGCACTGGATGCTTATTTTTCATTTGTGAGTATTTTGAATCTTGGAGGTTTCCTGTCTTCTGGTTACACTGAAGGCATAGGTGTGTTTGGTTTTTTGGTGTTTTTTGGTTTTTTTGGGTTTTTTTTTTGGTGTTTAGTTTTGTTTCTTGTTTTGTTTTCTTGAGAATATTTGGGGTGCTGTAATCTTTTTTCTTAATCCTTTACAAAATGTATGTCCTATACAATCGCTATTTCATACTGACAGACCAGTATACGAAGAGGTTACATGAATTTTTTTAGGTTAAAAAAATAATATGGGCATTCGTAAAAGGGTCTTAGGTCTGCAGCACTCTCGTCTGTCAAATTAAGTCCTCAGAGACCACCAGAGAAGAGGTGAGATGCCTTCAGAACCCCCCAACACCCCCCAGAGACGGCAGATCTAGAATGTCCTGTTCACATGTAATGGCTTGTGGATGACACGCACAACGAGGGTAATGGTCGCGTGCCTCACCCAATGACGCAGGAAAAAATGCAAATATATGCTTGTCACACGATCTTAAAATACTACAAAATAGTACAAGTTCCACATAGATCGAACCAGATGTCCCCTCACTTGTCATTATGCTCCAAGGCCACTTTAGTGGCCTTCACAAGCGCCCTCAGCTCCTCCTTGGCCTGGCCGATGGCTGCGCTCCTCAGGGACCACTTCTCCAGCTCCTGGACTTGAGCCAGCAAACTCTAGACGAGACAAGGCCACACGGGTCACACACACACACAGGAAGGGTGAGAATTTTCCTTTTTCGTTATTACGGTATTTTCAAGCTGTCCTGAGTCAAAATATAAATTCGAGAGACAACGGATGAACAGGGACGGGGCAAGGTGGACGTATTGGAGCGGGGGAGACCTGTCCTGTGAAGATCTGCATAAACCATTTTTTCCCTTATTTTCAGGTTTTGTAATCTGAAGTTTTAAATGCGTGGGGGTTTGTTTCACTGTTGGTTTGTGGGGAGGACGTGCTGGCAAAGAGCATCTGCACCCTGTTATTTCTTCTAGATTCGTGAGAAACCCTTCGCCTCGGTCACCCCTGGGGAGACGAAGCCAGGCCGCGTCCGGAGGCGGGCGACAGGGGCCTCGCCCCGAGGTGACAGGCCACGGCTTCCGGAGCCAAAAGCAGGCCCTGGCGCCTTTGGCCGGCGACGCCTTCCATTTTGGTGTGTGCCTGGGACGTGCGCACACTTGTCCGGTTTGACTCACACCCAGAAAGTGAGAAACGGTGGAGTCTGCGCTGCATCCTGCAGCATAAAAATCCCCAAACGGAAAAGCACGCACACGTGCGATTCTGGATTAGAAGGAAGGTAGAACTGACCTCGGAAATGCTGTGAGAGAGAGAGAGACAGAGAGACAGAGAGAGACAGAGAGACAGAGAGACAGAGAGAGAGACAGAGACAGAGACAGAGAGACAGAGAGAGAGACAGAGAGAGACAGACAGAGAGACAGACAGAGAGACAGAGACAGAGAGAGACAGAGACAGAGACAGAGATAACTACTATATTCTACTCTATGTAAATGATATACATATACAGAGTAAGAAACAATGTTTTCCAACTTATAAGATAGGATTTTCAACTTTATTCAATTTCAAAGGTCAAAAACTGCCTTAGCTAGTGTTCTGGTCTCTTAGCTTCCGTAAGTGACAGTTACTCCTGCAGCCAGTTTTCCATGCTGAACATCCCCATGTGTGACTAAGCGTAGAGGGGACACGTGTACGTATGGCTGCTTCCGCTTTGGGCGCACGGCGTGATGCCAGCCGGTGCGTCGCTCCCGTCTCTGCCCCCCTTCTGGGTCTGCGTCCAGACATCTCTCTTCTTACAGGGACTCCTGTCACTAGGTAAGGACCCACCCTTGCGACCTCACTAGACTTGGCTCCATCTGCACAGACCGTTTCCCGGAAGGCCCCACTCAGCTTCCGGGCGGACACGGAGTCCTGGAGGACACTGGTCAGGCCAGCAGCGGGCTCACGGGGAAACGCAGAAAGGATGGGTGTCGATGCGATGATGACACACGCGCACTCACGCACTCACACATACACACACGGTGACCACACGCACACTCACACACATGCACACACACACTCACACACACCACATACACACTCATACACGCACACACGCTAGGGCAGCTTAAAAACAGCTTGAGAGCTCTGTTCTATGGTGACCACATGCACAATCACATGCACTCACACACACGCGCACAGAGTGACCACACGTACACTCACACACACACACGGTGACCACATGCACACTCACACACGTGCACAAACACACACCACATACACACTCACACACGCACACACACACACACCACATACACACTCACACACGCACACACGCACACACGCACACACGCGAGGGCAGCTTAAAAACAGCTTGAGAGCTCTGTTCTGAGGTATCGGTGGGACGTTTTTTACTTTCGCGTTGCTGTCGTAAGGAGCCACACAACTTAGTGACTTAGCGCCCGCTGACCACGCCCGTTCCGCTGGGCAGAGGTGTGATGAGCCCGGCGGACGCGGCCAGGGTCTCGCAGGCGCCTGCGGGCAGGGCGCCGAGGGCCCGTCCCCCGCTCAGAGCCCAGCCGCCGTGGCGTCCACTCAGCTCGGGTCCTCCTGAGTCCCTGCCGCCACTGTCCCCTCCAACCAGCCAGAGTCCTCGGCTCTCAGGGGCTCGTGTGGTCGGATCCGGCCCCCCGCCCCACGTAACCCAGGAAAACCTGCACGTCGCGCGGCCAGCGCCTGCCCCCCGCCACCTGCGCGCCAGCCGCCGGGGAGGCTGGGTGCAGGCGGAACCCGGGCTCGTCGCGGGCCGGTACCTGGTACTGGGCCGTGTGCGGCGACTTCAGAAGGATGGCCATGTAGAGCTCGTATTCATTCTACACAAACGGAGAGAAAAACGGCCTTCGGAAACATGCTAGGAGCTGACACTACCCTGTCAGCCTCGCCTGTATAAATAATACGGAGGTCGAGGATGTCAGTCTAGATCATTCCAAAATATAAAATATTCCTACCATACATTCAACAGTGTATGCTCTAAAACATGTAAAATCTCAGAATAGCACCATAAAAATGCCCCGACACACACACACACACCTGCCCCTGCCTCACAGAAGTTCCCAGCTTGGGTCCTGCCGGCCTGCCAGAGACAGGGTCCCCAAGCACGGGGACGTCCTCTGGAGAACGGGCCACCCCATGGCTGCTTCTAGGTATTCGTCGTCACCAAGGACTTGGAGAACGCGGGTGTGTGAGTGACCTCATCTCGACTCAGCCTCACCTCGAAGGTCACTGTCATCATGAAGCCACGACAAACGTACACTTCCATGAGGAGTCATAAGGGCCACATGCGCGTAATTACAGGAGTGTACATGTTACGTGCGCACAATCGTTCAACGCTGACAGATAACGGGAAGCTTAGTGGGAAGATGGGCTGGCCTGAGCCAGCGGGTGTTCACTCCACACGGCCGTCACGACTGAGGCGGCTGCGGGCGCCTTACTTCGGGTCCGTGTGGGTGGCTTTCTTTGTCTACGGGCTGGAGATGGGACACTTGGCAAAACGTCTGCGAGGCTTTAGCTCACGTGCGCAGAACGTCACACCCGGGCCCCCAACTGTTACGCGGGCGAGTGCGTTCCTGTTACCTTGACCTCCCTCAGGATGTCCCCGAACAACAGCGAACTGTTGCAGACGTCTTCGAAGACGGCCGCGAGGACCTGGAGCTTGTGGAACTGCCGAGGGTCGCACACGCACACCTTCTGCAGCTCCTGCGGCGGGAGAGGGCGGCCCATCCCCTTTCTGGACAGTTCCTGGGGCTGAGGCCGAAAGGCCGGTCCTCAGGGGGTCCGGCTCCCACCGCCCCAGGACTGTCCCGCTGGCTGGCGGCCAGCCAGGTGCCCCTGCCGCCCTCCACCGGAGCTGAGCCCCTTCGTGCACCTGCTCGCCCAGGTTTGTGACTCTGGCCCCGGGCTCTCCTCGTTCGGCGCCCTCCCATCCGCAGTTCAGGGACTCAGGCTCTGCCTCCACGACGACCCCCGACTCTCCCGTTTCCCATCCGTCCTCTCCCCCAAAATCTCATCGCGGCTGCGTGTTCCACCGCGGCCCTGCGTTCTCGCCTCCTCCCTGGGTCCTCACCTCCCACGCGGGTCCCCGGTCCCAGGCCCCCAGTTCCCGCAGCACTTCCCACGAGGCTCATGCCCCGCGGGTGGCTGGAAGGCGGACTTCGCCCGCACTAGGGACCGTGGCATCTCACTGCTCAGGCCCCGTTCCCTTCCCTAGCGAGTCAGGCGAGCACGGCGAGCCCTTCCTCGGTGGCCCGGCTGCTCCATGAACGTTTGCTTTTTCCCAGTGCCCAGGGGTGGCCGATGTTTTTGACTATGAAGTTGCCTCCAACCTACTAGTTTCCAAGCCCAGCCCGCCTAAGTGTCGCTACATCGCGGGATGCTCCCAGCAACCACGTGGAGGTGTGAAGGAGGCACCTGACGGGGAGTCCCACCCCCCACCACACACGCAGGACATGTAGACTCCGGGGGGGCCGCGCGGTTGCCCACGGCATCTCCGCGGCGCCCCGTTACCTGCTCCAGCTTCTTCTCGTGGCACAGCGCGGCCTGGCTCCTGGCGAGGTCGCTCCTCAGCAGATCTTGCTTGGCGACGACCTCCTTTTGGAAGCGCAGGAAGGCCCTGTACTTGTCCGCCCTGGTGGCGCCCGCCAGGTGCGAGCTCACGTACCGGTGCTCGTCGTGGTCCGCGGCCGCCAGGGCCC